TCATCATCATCATCATCATCAGTCTGTCTGGAATGACATGAAGAAACAGAACAAACTGAGACAGACTCAATCCAGAAAAACTGTGGCAACGTCTCCAAGATGCTTCAAGAAACCTACCTGCAAACTGAGACAGACTAAACGAATGTTTGGAAATGTAAACTGATATTTCCTACTGACACACTACTGCAAAAAATGGAAATAGCGTACTTAAAACCATTTTACCCAACACATTTATTCAACAACACACCTGCCTTACGGAGGGCACCGATCTGAGATCCAGTGATGGTCATGTAGTCTCTGTCCGTAACCACTCGCACAACAACTCCCCGTTTGTGCAGCAGGAGAATCGCCCTGCTCAGCTCCATGTGAGAGAAGGAGAACACACACAGGTCCAGTGACATACGTGCGGAGAGGAGATGCACGAGGAGCCTGGAGAAGGACGTCTCAATACCATGGGGAAGGGGACATGCGCTGAGGGTGGACAGATTAGTTGTTTTCCACATTATTGCACATAAAAGCTCCTTGCACACTGAGTCTGAAATTTTCATGTGCATTTTTTTTCGTATTCGTCATCCGTTCCTATCAGAATGCTTGCTACGGATGCGAAAACGCAGAAAATCGAAACTGATCAGATTTCTTTTTTTTTTTTTTTATGACGGAAAGTTTCGGAGGCAGTGTGTAAACGTGAGGTCGTATTTATTTTTAACATGCAAAAATTTCAGATGAGACTTCAGACTCAGTGTGCAAGGACCTTAAGATTAGAAAAAGCTGATCAAACTACCAGGGGAAATGTTTATGGCGTATGAAGAGGTGCTCAACGCAGACTTGAGGTGAAGGGAAGAACAGAACTTCTTTCAGGGGCCCGCGAGAGTCTCTCAGACGCCGCATCAGCCAGTTAAGCCACTCCACCCCCAGAACCAAAGCTACGGCTCCCAGCCCTAACACCTTCATCAGCTCTTTAAATGACATCTGAGAAACAGAGAGAACGGATTAGAAAGTGAAGCAGCGTTATATTACACTTTATGAACAATAAAAAAGAGACCGTACATTCCTGAAGTTGAACATTTTGTTCTACCGTTCTATTAACCACAATTGGGATCACAAACTCTCAACCAGACATTTTCCCAAATCAGGACCGTTGTCAAAGCCAACAGGTCCTGTATGGATGGAGCCCACCCACAGAAATGTTATTAATTTTATCCATGTTGCAAATTATTGCTCAGGTACTTGTTTCTGATTCTGCAATCAAATGCTTTTGTATAATTACCACTAAATTGTATTCCAGTTTCAGTAAACATTCATCTTACTACTTGGTTGCAGTCGTATCACCTAAATAATACACCTCAAAACAATATTTATATTTATATGTACATTTATATTTAAAGGTACAAAACTAACTAACACAGTTATGTGGGAAATCGGTAGCCATGCAGGTACGATTGTAGTTTATTTTACAAAAATAGGCCTACTTTACAACTGCAACATATAAAGTACAGGCTATTAATGTTCCCTGTTTGTTTAAAGCAAATAATAATAATAATAAATACTTTACTGCGGAATGGCGTTATTGACCAATGAGAAGAAAGCATCCCAGAGCGTTGTATAGGCTAGTACTTTGAAACGTTAGCATAATGTAATTGATTATTTTTGCACATCTATCCTAATCTCCGAAATCATAAATCGTGGCTATCCCATAAAAACGGACATATATGACGAAAGAATTTAACAGCGTGTTTTAATGTCTAATTTACACTTCTTTGACAACACAGCGTTTCAGAAAAGTGACTAACATAACAAATTTTAAACTTGTACTTTTTTGTAATTCACCCAGGTGAGT